GTGTATTTTCTCTATGCAGTTTCCGTTAGGTGAAGCCCAGACAATAATCAAGCTCATGATTTTGAATATTATTAAATGCTGAACATAGAACTGAGTGTCCAAGCCATGACGTTTTAGGGTCTGCATTCCAGACCACAGTAATGGCCAGCTTACATGAATGACAAGGGCATATTGATTTTTTCAGGTATGCCTAAATTTTAACTCTTTTACACACGCACGGCCGAGAAGGAGCTAGGGAACCAGCGTCAAAAAATTTACGAAATATAGTTTGCCAAATTTCCTTCAAGTTTATATATTCTATGACTACTGATTCCGTCGATGACCCAATTTTCTTTATTTTTTCTTAGTCCGTCGATGTCCACTATACCCGTTTTGGCGGAGGGTTTTGATAAATCGCTTGGATATCAATACAGCAGATTATTCTTTAGGGCTGCAACTGATTAATCGTGGGAGGCAGCATTTTTCCTTTACTCGGGGCTGTCTTGCCAGGGAAGAAACAGGTCGCTATCCAAGGACAGTAGGGTTACACAAACACCGATTGATTTCTCAACTATTTTTTACAGGAGGTAGGTAAGCATTACAAATCAGCACATTTTATCGAAGGACAATAAAAGCAACGAGGAGATGAATGAAATTACGGCGAAAAGTCTCATCATCTATTGATTTTGCTCCAACCTTTGCCTGAACTCCCAACTTGCTAGTAGCCAATCTAGTCCGTGAGTTGCTGGTGAGCTCGCAATTTTGTGACTTCAAGGCATCGTTTGAATCGCCGCGTTTTGTCGCTCCGTTATTCACACAGAATTGAAATATGCACAAGCGGAATGCGCTAGACTTTGTTTGTATTTGACTGCTTTGCCATGTTGTGCTCTGCCTTTCTGCGCGTGTGCGCTCAAATCGTCTACCTCCAACCGGATCCCCCCCCGCACCCCACGAGTCGTCTAAAGTGATGACGCTTATCGGGGCCAAACCGCGTTTCTCAGTAGATACCACCCACTGCCATGCTCTTCGCTGTCCACACGTTATTTTCTCACAGACAAAATTGAGTGTAGTGGAATACCAAGCTCTGCCCGCCTATAGAGGAGACAGTAGAAGCCAAGGAAAGGGTAACTCTGTAGAGAAAAGCCCCGCTCTGGATTGGCATGGATGTTTACGTTAAGCAGACTGCATTTTGGGACATTTTAGCAGACTTTTCATGCGACAAGAAAATGTAGGGCAATTATTTTTTCGTACAAACTGAAAGGCAGGCATCCCAATTATTCGTTGCCTACAAGAAATAAGCGAAGTTCTTTGAAAACGAAATAATTTTATAAGTTAAATTTTTGACTCTGGTATTCCATTGATGTACAGAAACAACTACTTTTAAATGGTGTCTACTTCAAGATTCTGTTGTTGCCCAACGTTTAAACCAGTAGGCTTCCGCTGCATTCAATCGTCCGATCGATGATGCTACTGTTCGCCTCTATTTGACGTTGAGAAATATGAAAGTGACTTCTAACTGGATGTGTCTTTTAGTCCCTGTCTTGTCTGGGTTTGTTGACTTCAGGAATTCACGGCTCTTCCTAGTCCAGCAGGCACCAACGATGTGAGTTTTCTTCTGTACAAATATTTGTCCTGTATCTAGTGTGTGTATGGCAGTCTGGGATAAGTGGTCTCGTCTCTGCACTGCAAACCGATGTTAATGTGCATGGGTGGCTAGAGATGTCCCGGTTTGGCCACGCTAGACCGCATCACAATTAGTATACGGTATTATTCAGACGACTTCTTTTCCCTATATTTGTGCAAAAGGCGACCTAGGGGCATTGTCTATGTCATCTTGCTCTACTCAAATCGTCATAATTCTTGAAGCATGGTCCCCTATTGGACATAAAAATAGGTTAAGTTGAAATTTTCGGAGTAGAAGGTTCATTGACGCAGTTAACCGGCAGCTATGTCTGGTGATTTAATAAATAAAGAAAAGAATGTGGCGATATTATTGTATGTCGTCATGCACAGTTATCGGGAAACTTGCCAACTTATTTTATTTGGTTAGGTAGGTTTAGTTAACGTCAGCGCAATTGTATCTGTGGTATTTGCAGGTAAATTTGGGTCAGGAATAACTAAATGTTGATGCATGGTTTTAAGAATAGTATGATTATTAGTGTAACGGTTTACGGTTAAGGTGAGCTTAAGGGTTAGACGCTTATAAGTAGAGTCAAGATCAGAGTTTTGAGGTAAGGAGCTTAAAATGAGCTTTAAGCTTTAAGATTACCTCATTAAGACACATGTAGAGGATCCTATGCTGACTACTAAGACGTGGTTGCTGCTAATGTTATGTGTCGCGATGTTGACTGCGGTAACCTCATGAAGACAAGGTATAACGGCTCACATGCTGACTCCTAAGGTTTCTTTTATTGCTTTCGTTAATATTTTTCCAAAATCCTCATTGTAAATATGAAAAGATAAATTTGCGAGAATACGTTTGCTTTCGATAAATTCTCTTCAGGCCTGTATAGTTATATGGTAATTAAGTAAACTATGCAGTTTGGTAGAAAGAAGTAGTGTTGTTGTCAAGAACGGTGGAAGTGGGAATAATTGAGATCAAAATATCAGTGTCTAGGCGGACCGGTGGCCGACGTAGGTGATGAGGTGCGCCTGATTGAATTAGCGACTTGCTTGTCTCTGGGGGACCAGGTTCCGGGACAGGTGATGAGCCGTGTGCTGTTGGGTTAGCGACTTTCGCCCATGGTAACTGGCGCACTATTGCAAAGTTCTTTTGAACGCACAGGGCCGGTGTGCGTAGATTGATGACAGTTGCCTCCGCTGTAGCTAACAGACGCTGTCCAAATAATTTTTAATAGCTCGAGGGCACCTTGTGGATCACTCAGAAAGCCGTTCTGGTATCCACACGATGGTTTGAGTCTACCACGTGCGCTAAAATGGAACTATTAAGGCTCTTTATTTGGCCCTTCCCTAACTATGCCGGAAGGTGTTCTCTTATCCATTTGGACAAACGCCTGCTCGTGCGACCAATATATTCTGCTCCAAGGAGCAAGTGAATGAATAGATGCATATAAAGGTGGTCTGGGCTGACAGTTTGTCCTTTATCTCTCCGCATAGGATGGGAGTTTTCGAGAACATTATTTGGGCGTTGACCGCTTTCGATACAACTTGGCTCAGGCGCCTTCTTACGAGTTTGCTTGGAGCGTCCCCTTCAAATGGGACCTTGCTGAAGATTTTGTATCCTCTGCTGTTGGAACCGATGGCTTCGGCGGTCTTTCAGCCATGGTCTTGGCAATAAATCGACTAGCATACCCATTTTCTCTAAAAACACTTCATCGCCCGTCTCGGCCACCAGTCTGCCTAGACGCTGACATTTTGACCTCAGTTCCTCCCATTCCCACCGCTCCAGACAACGGCACTACTTCGTTTCACTAACAAGCATAGGTTATTTATTTAATTACCATATAAATGTACAGGTCTAAAGAGAATTTCTTGAAAGCAAACGTATGCTCTCAATTTATCTTCCAAATTTTTTCCCTTTCATCGTCCTCTAAGCTTCATTTTTCTTATGTTTTTGTTTTATATTTTCTGCTTATCTCTTCTTTTTAATGAATTTATCTTCTTCTACATTGATTTTTGGCTTAAGTTGCTTTTTTCCGCCTGCATGCTACTCATCTGATTATTTTTTTGCATTTTTTTAATTATGCGCTCGAATATTCCCTATTTGTTTGTGTATTTGAACAATATAATGCAATTTTTAGCATTTCTCCTTCTTGGGGCATGCTGCCTACCACGTGCTTTTGTTCCACCCAGAAAATGCTTATTATCACCATTCTAGTATTGCAGGCATTTTTGCTTCTTGTTTTATCAGTGGGGTTACATACGCTACCGTTCCTTAAAATGGTTGCTTCTGCTCTATTTTCTATACTCGGTTAGGGATGAGTTGTAAACTTGGCTCTGGTTTCAGCTGATTACTAAACCGAATTCTCTGGAGCGTGAGCCACCGGTCCACACTTCGTCGGCTGCAAGTTGAACTATTTATTTTTGCATGGAAGTGTCGTTGTCCGTTGTAAGTGCTAGCTCCCATAGTCGTCAGTACCACCGCTGACTCTTGTCACCTTCGCTTGTCAATCACTGCGTACGCACGGGTGACAACCTCTGTCAACGCCATGACCCTAATTAAAATGTATCTGTTCACTAACTGGCCGCAGATAAACGAGGTTTAGGATGATGCACGTTATCTGTCATTTGTCCCTCACGGCAACTGCTTGTCAACCTTCCCGTACGCTCTTATATCTCAGTAAAAACGCGTCCAACCTCATCTATCCTCCCTAACTTATGACTTGGAAGCCTTTGTTTGTCGATCATCTCACTTTGTTGCCCAATTAAATGAGTCCTTTCGGTCCGATTTGGATGTTCGTTCTACTGCCCTCACGACAGGTGGCTCAGTTACTGTAAATGAATAATTCATAATTTTTCCAGCACGGACAGCGCAGGCCAGAATGGCCAAACTGAATGCCAAAATAGAACACCTTTATTCAACTCTGCGGTCCGCTCAGAGGGCTACTGCCATTTGGCCCAGTTCTTCGTCTAGGAAAAAATAAAGTTTACGAGTGGGGCCTTTTATACGAAAAGGGGACGCAGCTGAAATTATGTAGCATGCTGCCAAATCATGTTTACACCATACACAAGGTTAAATGTATTGCGTTAATATCTATGCAAATCGTGGTCAATATACAACGCAGCCAATAGAAAATCAGGCAATCTTGTGGGTAAAATTTTGCCTGCTTAGTTGCAGGAAAAGACCAGGTAAACGCATCAGCGACTGGATGGCCATTGAGCTTTTGATAAGGCTGTCAAGGCTCCCACTCGTAAAACCTCTTTTACCTCCATCCGCGTAGAAGAGGCGTTCGTGAGGGAGTAGCGCCAAAGAGTCTACATTACAAAACTCCAGTGCACATTGAGTTGGGCAGAAACTTTATGCAACACTTTCGCAAGCACATGACAGGGGTGCTGAGCAACTACTGGCACTTGCGCTTACGCAAGTACCGGACCATCATTTCACGAAAAAAGGCAGAGTGCATGACACGATTTGGCGAATCTGCTGCTGATTCCCTCGAGTGAACAATATCGGCGCTAGCAAAAGCAAGACAGAAAAAAATTGCAGGAACTTAGACCAGAAGTTCAAAAAATTAAATCCCGAATCTAAAACAACCGAATATGTGGTGCTCATCGAAATTATCGCGGCACTGGAAGCCAGGCTAGTAAGAACCAATGTAACCGGCAAGGCTAAGCATACCATAGGCCAGAAAGTCACCGTCCTCTTAATGAAAAATGGATCCGCCACTAGCATATCACAAGGGGCAGACGAATCGATGAAGAAAGTAAAAACGAACGAGAATATAAAAGTGCTACCAGCTGACAAGGGAAGAAGAACCGCCATGATAGAACACGCTGATTACAACGGGGAAGGGCAAGCCCCCTCGACTACCAACAGTCCTGCAAATTCACGCCTTCTTCTCTGGCTAAATCAATTATTAACCAGCTTACCGGACTCCTGAACAAGCTCAGCTATAATAATGTGATAGCATGCGAAGAATGGCGACAGACTAAGCCAAACTATACAGCACTGGCCCGGTTCTACAGATTACCCAAACACGCAAACACAAAGTTCCCCTTCGACCAATCGTTGCGTTGAAAGGCAGCCCTACTTACAATCTATCCAAATAGATAATACGAAAACTTAACCTTCTCCGCGAGGGCTAGAGGAAATCAATAAATTCGGTCTAGCAATTTGTGCCCACTATCCGGAGAAGAACGATTTGATCTGGTCAAACCATGGTATATTTAGACATGGTTTGATTATTCACAGTTATCCCACCGGGCCTGGCATGCGAAGTTGTATGCAAACGACTTGAAGAAAAATACGACTAATTGAAAGGTCCTCTTTGAAGTAACCATGTAAAGCAACTCTTTTTCTTCTGGAAAGAAGCGGTTTCACTTTCAGTAATAAAGCATGCAGGCAGATCAGAGGGACGCAAATGGGCTCCTCAGTATCGAGTCAAATTGCAGGACTAGTCTTAAAAGAGATGGAAAAAAATTGTCTTCAACCAAGATGAACCTGCGTTTTGATGTCGATACATGAACGACACGTTCGTTATAATCTAACGGAACAGACTAGCGGGCTTCCGAAACCGGCTTAACGGCATCTTTTCTGATATCCAATTTACAAGGGAAGAAGTGAACGCCGAATAACTGCCTTTCCTTTCCGTCCTCGTCACACGCAGAATTGATGGAGAACACAGCACCACCGTGTATTGAAAGGCAATTAACACAACTCAAGTGCTCAACTTCCGTAGCAACCAACCAATAGGGCATAAACGAGGCTGTATTAGAGCACTCTTCCGAAGGGTATAAACAGTGCCGTGAACTCGAAAGACAAGTGCGAGAACTATGGCATCTTCGGAACCAACTGGCAAGGAATAGATACCCGAACAGTTGTGTCAGCCGCTGTTTCCATATGCTTCCTCGGGGGGAAAAGGGAGGAGAGCCACCAGCACTCTGGCACCCCCTACCTATAGAAAAATATGTCAGAAGCAAAGGAAATTTTCAAGCTAAGGCGTCCTTTGGAAAAATTAGGAAACTTTATTCAGTAACTTTTCGACACTGGATCCCCAGGTTATCCTCACACTTGAGAAAATTATGCAAAGAACTATTAAGATTTCAAAGTGTTGGTACAGTTATATAGTTGTCTAGGCTGGGCGCTAATTGGTAACTACAATTTGCGTCATGCCGTGGTGGACATAATTAACAGTCACAATGGCGTAATGGCTAACTGGCAACTGTAATTTGCTTCGGTCCGGGGTTAGTCCGGGTCATCAAGTATGTGCATTAATTGCGGTTTATTTTGGTCCATAATTGTCGACTGTTGTCTCTTCCACCCTTCTTTGAGATGTTTATACACTCCCCTCAACTCAATACGCCGGTTGATGCATGGATCATCGGATTGCATGGCCTCAAGAAATTCTCAGCATTTTTTGGAAGGGAAAACTCCGACGATGCGCTTTTTGTCCCATGCAAAGGTATGTCCTGTGTCAAGACAATGCACAGCCAATTCGGACAAATGGTTACGTCTCTTAACTGCCAATTGATATTCGTGAATGCGTGTGGAGACGGATCTTCCTGTTTGGCCACAATACACGGTATCACAAGCTT